TGGATGTTTGAATATATTTTAATAAATTTCAATCGTTCGTTCTTAAATATTTTTATTTTCTTTTGGATTTTTTTTTCTATACGTTTAACCCTCGAAGAATTTTAAGTAGGAAATAATTAAATAAATGTACGGGTTGTGGTCTAACAAAATTCTAAAATTGCTTTAAGGATCTTTAAGTGAATAGTATCACCAGAGTCGGAACGAGATCTGTACAACGTTCTCATCTGTCAATAGGATATAAACGAATTATCAATTTTTCATGTTGAATTTCATCAATTTTCCGATAGTATCTACACATAGATTGGACTTTATAGCACACAATTTACTATTTTCTCTCATACATGTAGTAACCAATCAATACTTAAATGCCATTTACAAATATTGTATTTTCGCCTTTAGTCTACAATATAATTTGTTCATGCTACACAAATGAGGACTTACTACTTACTACTGAGAAAATCTATATGAGTAAATGAATCTGATAAAATATTAAACATAATTATGTTTGCAGGAGGTCAAAATATTAAATCAACTTACTAGATTAAATCTGGGAGTGCATTGCAATCTTTGTCATTTTTTTTTGTATTGGGCGGGTTTAGAGGAAACAGCAACAAACATTAAAATAAAAAGCCCAAGTACCTAAAGATAATGAATTTGGAAATCGTAAACTCGATACACAATTTCGATGATTATTACTTTCATAGAGTCAATATTTTATACTTTCATAGAGTCAATATTTTATTACTTTCATAGAGTCAATATTACTCATTTATGTCCGAGCGTTGTGGTTCTAAGAATCTGAACTGTGTACCAGAGAACTGTCCACTTTAACGTTTGGTCATATGTTACTAACTATTAAAGATCAAAATGAAATCATTTTTAAAAATGGATATGGATTTATTAAAGAATTAAAGATGCTTCTTATTGTGTAAAATACCTTACAATGCAGACTGTGTACAATCATTCACATAATTATTTTTACATATCTTAATTTAATTTACATATTGTATTGTGTTGTATTGTATGCATGCATACTTTATTAATATTTTACTGTAACAAATCGTTTTATGAAAGAAGATTTTATAAGTTTGATTAGTTTGTGTATCACGCCTTCTGCCCATTTAGGCAAATAGAATATGCTTAAACAAAAAACCCAAACCTGTTGGTCCAAAGCATACATGGTGATGGTAGCTCGGCATTATATCCTTATAAACTCGCTTGTTGTGGAATTTATATTGTGAACATTTGCTGTCGGCATTTTGTATAATATTTAAGACCAGGATCCTGTGATGAGTTAACCAATTGAAAGTTTTAGTCAGTGGCGAGACGTTCTTTTTCTTGTTTAAATTTTGATAACAAACTGAACTACAAATTCTTTTTTTACTTACATTAAACAGTACAATTTACTACGCAGAATCGAGACGTTATTTTTTATCGGAAATCACGGTCTCTATTTAATAACCTTGAGTATTGATAGTTTTCGGTTCAGGTCATGTTATCATGATATAAACATAACTATAAAATACATCCAATTTTGGTTTAAATACTCAGACATAATGAAAATGTATTTTATCGAACAATTTAAAACCGTTTTGAACAAAATAGACCAAATACCTCGATTTAATTTATTTAATTTATTTTAAACTGGTGAAACTTAATTTGTTTCAACGACTATTCACAATGAAAGTTAAGGAAAATAATTTTTATATTTTAATTAGTATTCTTGGCATCCTGTTCGTTACAGAGTGTCTTAAGAGCAGGACACCATGTTGTTCTATTAAATAGACAAACTTTTAATAAACGATAATGGCTTCTGATAAATATTTCCAAAGTTTCTCATTTGAAATTAATTAACTATATCTTATTCAGCTATTGTCCTATTTTTAATTAAAATCATATTCATAAAAATACACTTCGGTAAACTAAATGCAATATATTTAATTGCTTGATATTTAAAAAATAGGAAAATAAACAATTGTTGAATTTATTTTCAATTTATTTACTTGATTTATGTTTTTCTTTTTAAGTTTCGATTGATCAATGTATACCATAATTTGAGTGTAATTTGCCGTCCTAACTATTAGCATAAAGCTTACTTGATGAAGGTTTTTGTCAGAACTGGCACGTGTTTAATCTCTGTATATATTTATTCATTATTTAGTTTCACAGATGTACATACTTAACCGAAGTAGCACCAGTCTTTATTATTTTTAATGAAAGTTTCCATTGTAATACTTGAAATCAATATATGTTGCAGTATGATTAAGTTCTAAATTATGAAAACACTAAATTAATGTCATGCGTCCGAAGAGATTTTCTGGTTTTATCTTCATCGGGAACACTCAGAGCCGAATATTTGAAAGCCAAGGATGTATAAGAACTGAAACAGCTGAAAAGCTAAATGACCAAAAACACCTAAAAATAATAGCCAAATCCATCTATGGTCAACTTTCCCCGAGGGAGTGAAAACATTAGTTTCTTAATAATTTATAAAATTTTAAACGGATAGTTTTAAAAAGGTTTGTTATAAATCATGTAAGGACAGAAGTACTGACAACTGAGCTGATAGTCAACCAGCAATTGACAGAGCAAAAGTCAAAACGACACATAACGTCAGCGTTTCTAGCAAATGTCATTTAGAACAAAAAAACGCAATACCAATGAGATCGTCTTGAATTTTGGAGATTTTTCAGTTTTTGACATCAGGTACATTAATTTGTAAAAATTGTCATTAAAATTATTGACTGGTTTAGTAGATTGAAAATGGAAGAAACAGACGAACAAGCAATTTAAAAACGTATAACAGTGAAAGAAGGAATTCACACTTAAGATTACTATATAGATATAAGAAGATGTGGTATGAGTACCAATGAGACAACTCTCCATCCAAGACATGATTTGTAGAGTAAACCATTATAGGTCAAAGTACGGCCTTCAACACGGAGCCTTGGCTCACACCGAACAGCAAGCTATAAAGGTCCCCCAAAATGATTAGTGTAAAACCATTCAAACAGGAAAACCAACGGGTCTAATCTATATAAAAAACGAGAAACGAGAAACACTTATGAACCACACCAACAAACGACAACCACTGAACATCAGGTTCCTGACTTAGGAAAGGTGCAAAGAAATGCAGCGGGTTTAAACGTTTTAATAGGCGACAACCTTCACCCTACCTGAAACAATAGTGTAACATCACAACATAGAAAGACACACTATAAAATATCAATTGAAATGGCTTAACTCAGTCAAAAGACATATTAACAAAAACAAGTGAACATACTCTGAACGAATAAATTTGATCTATGACACAATGTAAATACAAAATTAATAAAACAAGGGGGTTAGATGTAAACCAATATCAGAAAGACAACCATAACCTTGGACAAAATGATGCCAAATAAAATAACGTACACAGATAAATAAAAAAAATTTTGTTGTAAGGTATACATGGAGTACGGAAATAATTTTTACAAAATAAATAATTTTGTTGTTCCTAGTACGAGAACAAAAGTGAAAATTTATCGTCATACTAAACACTTATCAAAGGTGGTATATATTAGAAATAGTGAGACTAGATATAACACTGAATAAGTAAACATTAAATAACAAAAATACATTACAAATTGTATAAACAGGTCAAATTATCACGAAAGTACGATTTGAGAGTACTCGCAATTACTGAAAGCTAGTTAAAAACCAAAAACAATAAATAATAAAAAAATCATGCATCAGAGACTAAAATCAACTAAAACACATCCAAGGGATTTAGTGTTTTAACGTCATGAACAGTCAAAGAAGACACGACTTGTGCAATGCTAAAATAAAAGTATCGACAGGCAGTAGGATAGTTAGGAGTTAACCTGTTGATAAATATGTATAATGTAATATATAGATAGAGTAATCTCTATATAGAAAATGAAAGTGGATGTGTATTTATACATCCCAAAAAAACGTTTGAAAAGAATACAAATTTAGTTATGTTTTGATTTTCTGATGACAAAATCGATATTTGTGCCAAAGTAAACTATATTCAAAGATCTAATTCCAATATTGGTAAAATAACCTTTACTAATAAGTTTGTTTAAAGGTTCCATGAGTTTACACGAATCATATAGTGATTTCCGCGCTTTTAGTACAATATTACCGTAAAATTTAGGATGTGAAATACCGTCTTTAATAAGTTTTCTACCGGTACAGCCACATTTACTAATCAAATCTTTGTATCTATGAAAGAATTTAGAAAAAGTTTTAAGCAATTTATGGTAACGAAATCCCTGACTTAATAATTTACCAGTGATGCATTAATTACGTTCGTCAAAATCTATGACATCACTACACACACGGGCATCGCCGTCTAAAAAGGGAAAATTAACAATAGGGAATGTCGTAAATTTTAGTATAGTGAATAATTTATTTTTGGTTTTAAATTCTCAATTTCAAAATATCATACGTAGATGGGTGACGGAAGACGAAACCTTTATTGACTATTAATAAGAATTTGGCACTATTTAGATGTGGGTGGATATACAAATCTTTAATCGTCGATTCATTTCTAATTATACCTCATATTAAATAATCGCCTTTTATAATACTATTGGCTAAACACATACGACAACAAGATTGTACGCCAGGAATGCTAGAAAAATATAGTAGACCAGCAAAGCTGCAGACCCCAAGAATGCTAGAAAAATATACTAGACCAGCAAAGCTGTAAACCAAGAATACTATCAAACAAGATACAAACTTGAAGAAACCAAAGCAGTGTATAAATTCAAATTTATCTAGCTCTGAAGAGATGACAACCCCACAGATATCTTTTAATATTTTATTAAATTGTAGAGTTACCGATGAGTTTTACATAATGTCTAGCTTTATTCAGACTTAATATGATCTTTTTTGTAAACAATTTTTAAATTATATAGCAGTCGATATATATTCATAAAAAGTTACGGTCAAACACACATAAAATTCGTGAAACCAAAATATTATATACTTACTTTTTTTAGTTGAATTCCTTTATGAATTTCTCTTGTCGTATGTTCATTTTACAACTGTTGCAACTATAAAAATATCATTTTTCTAATTAAACCGCCATATTGTATCTGATCAAGCGTTCGGTAGTCAAGATCTTCCGTTTAATTCTTCATTTGGCTGATTAATAGACCGACACCTTTATTTTGATAGTATATATACAGGTGAATTGCTGTCGGATAGATTATATAGTCAAGCAATTACCGTTTCCATCCATTTAAACAGATTAATTCTTTACGACCAAGGTGTTTGATACATATATTTTGAAGTTTAAATATGTTTTCAATATTTATAAATACAAATACAAAGAATAAAGTTTAAATGTTAAGTTTTAACTTAACATTTAATATTAGTATATGATGTAAACATGTTTACTATATAAAATATTTCAAAATATCAACTATCATTCATCTTAACATTAAATCCCACATTTTTTTCCATTTTCATGTGATACTTGGCACTGGATACGTCTTTGACATCGCAAGACGGTCGTAGCATGCACAGCATGAGTTGTAAAATAAAAATGATCATACAATATCACACCAAGAAGACAAGGAATAAACGAATTGAACAATAAAAGCACAAAAACATAAAAAAATAGACTTAATAAGAAGGATTACCAAAGGATAAAACATGCTACACCGAAGACAATGTTATCAGTATGCTGGAGTTTTTCATTGACAACATATTGGTCGAATTTAAAGGTAAAATGTTCCAGCAGTTGTCGGTATTCCTATGGAAACTAACTATGCTTCTCTCTTTGTCGACCTTTTCTTATTTTTACGAGTCTGTGTTCATACAGACACTCGTAAAAAACAAAAAGACTAAAGGTGGCTAGATCATTTAATTTCACATGCAGTTTTGTTGATGATGTTCTTTTCATTAACAATCCAAACATTCCTGATTGGGCCCTATATATATATCCTCCTGAACAAGGGATTAAAGAAACAGATTACCCCGCCTCATTTTTAGACATACCTAGAATTTGACTCCAGCGGTAATCTCAGTACCAGAGTGTATGACAAACGACACGATTTCAATTTGGAAATCAAAATTGACGATTTTGAAAACGTCATCAGTGTCTGAGCAAAAAAATAATAAGCCAAGGTTTTGATAAAATAGAACGTCTCATCCCTTTTCCCAAAATGTTGATAGGACGGTACAAAGACCTAATAGCACTGGTATCAACGTGATGATCGTAACTGCAATTACGATCATCCCAATATGACGGATACAAATTCAGGTAAATCACATAAGGCCGATTTCTCCACTTTAACTGCTTATTTTCAGATTTGTATTATGTCAAGAAAAATCTTTATAAGCATTGCCATTGAATGTTTTTTTCCTGGAAAAGCAACCAGAAGAACGAAAATCGAGATACAAAAAAACACGATGATGATCGTAACTGGGTCATTCTACATATATAGGCCCATTTTACAACGTGTATTAGATTAGCCGAAAATGTGGTCATAGCTGTTCTTCTTGTGTATCACTGCATGCAAAAATTATTGGTTTTATAAGGAACGTAGTTAGCAGTGATTAGAACGCAACATGAAGATCTCTAAAAAATGAAATAGATCACATAGTTCCGGAAAATGTCATTACCGTAACGGATTATAAGACATTTATTTTTGTAAAAACCAGATTCAATTTGTTTTTTTGTCCTATTGACATATTGTATACAATCTTGAAGTTTTATAACCGATTCTAGCTATTTTCAGTTACAATGATCATAACAACATAAATTTTAATGGTATATGTTGGCAAACAATACTTGTTATAATTTCCTTGACTTTGTTTTTAAATATTATGGTTTTGTTTGTTTTGTGTTTTAACACTTTGTTACTTAAAAAATGTATTCATATTTTATAGTAATCTTTACAAATGGTATCATTCATATAATTACAGTGTTGCAAATCTGCAAATCAATGTTGTTACGGCAATGACATAGTGTTACGTAAGTGACCGTTACCGTTACGGCAATGATTGTGTACCCTTAAACTGTGTTAATGGAATAATGGTGTACCTTTTTGAACACCGAACCTCAAAGCTGCAAGAGAATTTGACAAAGAAGCACTTATACCAGTATCACATTGTGCATAAAAAGTATTAAAATCATGTGTACTATTAAATTTAAAACAAGGAAACGGACAAGTTGATTAACGATATGGTATTCTTTATTTCTAAAGAAAGTATGTTAAATACGCAGCATTGGGGAGAAAATCGAGAACTTCAAAACAAGTGGCGAAGGACATTGGTTTGGCAAATGCATCTGTGTTCGCTCAACCTATCACTGTTAAATATAAGAGGGTGTATTCGACTGGCATCGCAAACAATATAGTTTGTCAATGACTCGCCAAAGTTCGATGGTTTTCCCGAGAAATCCAAAATCAAACTGAACGTTTTGAGATTGTCTGAATAGACAGAAAAGTAGCAACAAACACCTTTTATTTATATACTAACTAAAACAGACAATAATATTTTACAGATAGTAATAATTCAGAATTAGAATAAAAAAAAAATTATTGTTTTTATTTTGATCAGCTGGACTTTCAAATCAAATTGTTATTTATTTTAGATAAAGATGCATAAGAATATGTTGTTTCCATTGGTTTCATTCAGTGCAGCTAAAATTAAATAAGTTAATCTTAAACAAATTTAATGATACGAAAACGAACGAACTTGAAACATGATTCAAAGAAATCAATACAACTGTATACAGTGTTAAATTCCAAGATCATCTTTTACTCGCTTCCAGACTTTTTTGTTAGCCTCGTGATGGCGGGATCCTACCTTTGTTGGAGGATCAATTAAACTTACAAAGTTGGAATGATGATACTTTACAATGTCTAGAACCATAGGCCAATAAAACCTATTTTCGCCGATCCTGTGCATCACCTCAACTTCACATTCGTTTGCATCGATGTCTTGTATGATTCCAGGGTACAGTTTGTTATCATAAGTGAAGATACACCATTTTCCGATGACTGATTGGTCTAAGGAGTCTGATTGTATATTCGTTGCATTACTTTTATCAAACTGAAACTCAGATACCCCAAGACAATCACACGACTCTGGTTTCTTACAGAAGCAACTAACATGCCTTGACTGGACTATTAAATTATGTTGCTCCTGACAAAAAACCTGAAATACAACAAATTATATTTATTTACTTCAATCGCAAAAAATCAATGTATTTGAAACGCTTGTCTGAGGTAAAAAGTATCAAAATATTGTGAACAGTAATCTTATCGAAAATGTTCCTTGTATTCTATAAACAACTGGGACTTTAATAGATAGGTTTTTGAAACAGTGTTTCGTATTAACATAGTATTGTTCTTTAAACATTGTTTCGTTTGCTAGCAGAGTTTGCTTTCATGATCTAAATTGTCATCAATAAACCAGAATGTTTCTTTTGCTATGAGGGCCTTGTAAGTGTATTGTTGATTTGGGTTAAGACGTTTGACCACTTCATATGTGGCTTTTGATAGAACGTTTTGAACTTTGTTCATAGTGTATTTTTTTCTTAAAACCCTAAAATTTTGATTTTTAACCGGCCTTGTTATCATACAAAGGCTACGCTATTTGACTTTGGGTGGTTTCCGAGGTCTGGTATGGTCTACAAAATGATCTCATGCCTCTTTTCAATCTTTGGCAATCATTCAGTTGTCTAAGTACATATTTTGATTTTGGTTAATTGTATACATTGTTACAGTTGAATCTTTTTTTACCTTTTCTTCTCTACGTGTTCACCACTTACAGGGCTGCCAACATTTTGAAATCAGAATGAGTGAGATTTTCACGGCATTTGCACGGCATTTGTACGCGACAAAATAGTATCTTACAATCAATGCTAGGTGTTTGATATTTTTCGAAATTCATACAAAGAAGTACTGGAGGGAACTTTGAACTTACCTGAAATGAACTTTAAAAAAGGATGCAATTTCAATACTTTGCCAGGAACATAATTGCCAAACATTAACTAGTATATTTTGTTTGTTTTCATGGAGATTTTTTTGTTGTTGCCTATGTTTTTGTGTTTGAAACTTTTAACTAGTACAGATTAAAGAATGTGATATTTTATTATTTGTATCAAAAGAAAAATTAAGTATAAAGCAAAATAAAACATACTTTATAATATAAAAAACCCAATTACATATTATATCTTATACATTGAAAAACAACAAATAACAAGTAAATGAGTCCTGAGTACACAGAATCCCCCACAATCACTTCTACTTTCCATTTTCAGTGAACCATGAAATTGGGGTCAACACCCTAATTTGACATACAATTTAGAAAGATTTAGATGGGGCATAAAAAGTGCAACTCTTCAACAAAGAAGTGATTAATTTTCATTTCAATGTTCTTTGTTGTATTTAGAAGTTGCTGATTTTAAATCAGCTAAAACTTTCTGTGGTGGTTCAAATTTATTGCAGGGCTCTGGGACTGCCATTTTAATTGTCAATAAACTACTTAAAGTCTGTTCCTGCTGAAGAGAGTCCCTGAAATCAGTTTTGTTTTGCCTTATGAATGAATAAACTCTTTCTTCGTCTGCATTAGAATGAGGCAATGTTGCAACAAGTGTTGCAACAATACCCAATCTTTTAAATCTTCGTTGGCCACTAAGGCTACATTTCATATTCAACAGAAATGCCCACAATACATCAGGTCTATGGTAATCAATGTTGTTTTCTCTCAATGCAGCCTCTTTCCAGACAAAACTTGGAATTTCACTGTCTGACATTGTTTGGTAGTCAACAAACTCTTCATTTAAACATTCTTGATCATGTGGGCTTTTTATTCCAATTAAATGTTCAAATCTGAAAAATAGTAGTATACAAATTTTACTTTTTTCAATACAATCTTTAGCAAGATAATGATAATTAAAGACATATGGGTCAATAGCCACATTTACTATCAGAATAAAATTACACAAATAATACTTATCATAACTGTTTACCTTACAAAGGTCTTGTGATATTGAGACATGTACTACTTATTAATCTTAAGGATGATACGTGTCAACTTGTGTGAATAAATGATTGTATGCATTAGATCAAGAAAGTATAAATGATCAGTTGAAAAAAGTAATTACCTTTCACAAAAATACATGACTTGATTGATGTCAGC